CGGAAGTGGATGCCGCTCCTGCTTCCAGGCTTGATTTAGTCGGGAAGCTCCAGCCAACACCGTCCACCATGGTGGTGTGAGCGCAGGAATCGTGGCAAGCTTTTGGAGTCGACTGCTTTTCCGGGAATGTGTTTGACATACAGGTTTGCTCTGTCCCCGGAGTGAGGCTAGCTAGCCTGGGCCTAGGGCTTGAACCAGGAGGCAGCCTTAAGCCCAAAGGCAGCTGGGAGAGGAGAGAAGCAGCCATGTTGCTCTTGGTTGGCTGGCTCCTCCCAGGGTCTTGGGAAGCTCTCCTTGCCAGAAGGAAGGATGACAATAATACCCATCATATATCCCATCCAAACAGTTATCTACCTCATCAGTTTCAATGCATCATGCTTCCCCTCCTTCTCTGTCTTCCCTCACCCTTGAAGCCAGTCCTGTTTTACAACAGTGGCCCTTTGCAATATTTGCCCTTTTGTGACTGAGAAGATATTTCACTCAGTATAATGTCCTCCAGGGTCACCCATTTTGCATTGTATTTCATGAGTTCCCTGTTTTTCAATGCTGCATAGTATTCCATTGTATGAATATACCACAGATTCTCTATCCATTTGTTTCTTGATGGGCACTTGGGTTGTTTCCAGCTCTTTGCTAATGTGAACAAAGCTGCAATAAACATGGGTGTGCATATATCTGCTTGGTTGGTGGTTATGGTTTCTTTAGGGTAAATGCCCAGCAGTGGAATTGTTGGGTCAAATGTTATTTCTATTTGCAACTTTTTGAGAAAGGGCCATACAGCCTCCCACAGTGGTTGCACCATTTTACGCTCCCACCAACAGTGAATAAGGGTTCCAGTTTTTCTGCAACCTCGCCATCGTTTGATGTTGGCTATTCTATTAAATTTTGCTATTCTGACTGGGGTGAAATGATATAGTTATTTTGGTGGAAAACTTTTAAGTATGTTTGGACCAACTTGAGTGTGTACATCTACTTTTTCAACTATTGTTAGGTGCTGTCGAGTCGAGTACAATTCAAAGTGACAGAGCCGGTATTTCTGGTGGAAATTTAGTGACTGAATTGAGATGTGATAGAAAAGTAAATTATATTGGGTTTCAGAGACTCAGAAACCCTCGTGGTGCCATGGTTAAGCGTTTGTCTGCTAAACAAAAGATCAGCTGTTCAAACCCACCAGCAGCTTTGTGGGAGAAAGATGTGGTGATCTAAGTCCATAAAGAGGTTGTTAGTTGTTGTTGTTGTTAGGTGCTGTCGAGTCAAGCACAACTCATAGCAACCTTATGAACAAAAGATCTGAATCCTGCTTTATCCTGCTCCATCCTCACACTTCCCGACACACAAGCACCCATTGCAGCAGTCTTCATATCAGTCCACCTGATTAAGGGTCTTCCTTTCCTTTGCCGACCCTCCACCCCTCCCAACATCATGTCCCTCTCCAAGGAATAGCGCCTCCTAGCAACATGTCCAAAGTATGTGAGGTGAAGCCTCATCATTCTTGTCTCCAAAGAGCACTTTGGCTGCACCCTCTCCCAGACATATCTATTCATTCTCTTGGCCATCCATGGGATGTTCAGTGCTCTTCTCCAATATCACAGCTCAAAGGTATCAATTATTTTTCTGTCATCCTTATTCATTTTTCTAGGTCTCAGATGCATAGCTAGTAATCAGAAAAACTACAGCCTGAATCAGACACACCTTAGTCCTCAAAATGACATCACTACTCCTCAACAATTTGGACAGGTCACTAACTGTAGATTTCTCCAGTGCATTGTGGCTCCTTATTTCCTGACTGCTGGTACCAAGGGTGTTAATTGTGGATCCAAGCAAGATGAAGCTGTTAACAGTTTCAATCTCCCCTCCATCCATCATGACGCAGTCTATTGGTTCGTTTTCCTGACATTGAGATGCAATCCATACTGAAGGCTGTATTCTTTGATCTTCTGCAACAAGTGCTTCAAGCACTTTCAACAAACAAGGTTGTGTCATCTACATAACACAGATTAATGATGAGTCTCCCTTCAATCTTGATACCACATTCCTCCTCACAGAGTCCAGCTTCTTGGATAATTTGCTCAACATACAGATTGAATAGTTATGGAGAGAGAATGAAACCCTGACACACTCCCTTTTCAATCCCAAACCATGCAATTCTCCCTTGCTCTGTTCTCACAACAACCTCCTGATCCAGGTAAGGTTCTGCATGAGCATAATCAAGTACTCTGGGATTCCCATTCTTCTCAATGTCAGCCACTACTTATCTTGATTCACACAAACCCTATTGGGAAGTTCTACTCTGTCCTGTCCTGTTGGAGTTCTGGTGGCCTGATGGTAAGAAGATGCATTCAGATCGATTAGCTGCTCCGTAGGAGACAGATGGGCAGTATCCTCCCAGGTGATTTACTGCCTCTGAAAACCCATGAAGAGTCAGCCGAGTTGGTTCTGGCCCAATGGCGCACAACAATCCTGTCTTATAGGATCACTGTGAGTCAGCTGACTCAATGGCAGGAGGTGTGTTTGTTTGATTTTCACCTCAAAGATTTCATTTTTAGAAAGATAATGTAAAATGGTTCACTTATAATCTTATCAGGTTGGTAACATGTTGAAGTGATAGTGGTTTGGATATATTAAGCTAAATAAACAATATTATTTAAAGGAATGGTTTCTGGTTCTTTTTCAATGCGGCCATGTCAGAAAATTGGGAAATGCATATATGACGTGTGTTATACTTTCTCTTTTAAATTTTCCTGGGTTCGTTTTCCCCCCTTTTTTGTGACTTGCATGAAAGTTTGCAAATTATATTGGGTTTTCCATCCAATCATGCATGCACATTTTTATAACATTAGTTAGAGTTAATGTACATAATCAGTTCCAATGTCTGATCACCCCTTATTGTGAATGCCTTTCTCTTCATCCTCAAGTTCTCTTTCGGTTGAACAGCGCTGCTCTGGAGTCTTTAGGGCGCACACAGCAGCATCTCCCATAGAGACTCCGTCATCTGTTCCCCACTGTCTCAAGGGGCCCCTTGGAGACTTTTTGCAACTGCAGTGCTGCTCCTTCCTGACCCTCGCTGCATTGCAGACGGGGCAGCTGGAGGAAGCATCCCTGGCAACCTACCTCATTATTGCTGGTGGGAGGCTTGGAAAGAAGTGGGGTGGGGAACTATAGCTTAAAAAAAACTTTCTGGCACTTTCCCAACTATTAGGGGGAAGTGGCTGGAATGTTGTTTGGGGTGTGTGTGTGTGTGTGTTTTGAGAGGACTAGAGGCTCAGGGGCAATCATATCTCAGGGGTGCTATTGTCTCCAGCCTCTTCCTCCAGACTGTCAGGTTCTCGCCTGACCTCCAGCCCCCCCTGTCTTCCACTGCTGTCCTACTGAGAAGATAGCTTGCTGGTGAAGTCCGGCTCCCCCTCCATGTTGCCATTTCCTCTCACCTGTCCAGACAGCCTGAGCTGGCGATCTTCTAATGAGTGGAATCTCCTCAGATCAAGGACAGTCGCAGCAGGAATTGGCCAAGCAGCGCCTGATGCTTGTAGATTGTTTGGAGTAGGATGGGTGGGAGCTCTCAAGGGTGGAGGGGAGCTAAGGACACTGGGCAGATGGTGCTGCAGAGAGAAATGCAATTTCTCCCCAGGGCCGCGTGATTCTCCACTTCTCATCTCCTGCTCCCTGCTTTTTACTTCGTCCTTTCACTCCTCCCCTTCTGATGATACTGAGGCTGTTGCCCTCTCCCTTGAGCTCTTGGCATTGATACTTTTTTCCTGGCTTTGCTTTGCCCTCTATTTGAAGCACATGGCACCTCCACCTCCCGTCTGGGGGCTCCTAAAACAATGACCTCCATCCAGAAACAGCTTCCTCACTGGGCCGCACTGAGCAGGATACAAGGGAAAACCGCAGCAAGCTAGTGGAAATGAACTAGGCAGGCCGTTCCCGCTGCTGTTCGCTCTCAGCTGTGCTTTTCCCTACAGCTGGCTGAGCCCCTCCGGTCTCTCTGCTAAGCCTGTCTTCTGGCTCTCTCACCTTTGACAAGAGCAGGTTTTTGCTGTGGTTAGTAATTTTCTAGGAGTTCCCTTCTCGCACTCCCCCAAGTGCACAAGAGAGAAGTGGCACAGGAACAGTGGGTGAGGTGACCTCATCAAGAAAAGACAATGTACTAGGAGGAGCTGGGGACTTAGGCTGGAATTTCTCCCTGGAGTCCCCTGCAAGGGGAGGATCTGCCCTTCTCCAGCCACAGATGCATCTGAGAGAGGGTTAAGACTGAACTGCTTAGGGATGCTCATCTGTCCAGGCTTGGGGGACCTGCTTTTTCATAAGCCAGTTTTATCAGGCAGGAAGGCCACTGAGTACGTGACCAGATGACAGACAGGAGGGGAAAGGTCTGAAAGAAATCAGAGGTGGAAATAGACTGAAATAAATAAAACTCCAGAGGTCGCACTGAGTTTTGACTGAGACTGCCATGGCGTTTTGGCAGCAGGTTTAATAATTTGAATGACAGAGACAGGTGGCAGAGGCTCATGCAGATAGGGCCAGAGTGCAATCTGTCCTCTCCCTCCCACCTTTGCATCCTCTTTGTTTTAGGGGACCTTGGCTCTCCTTCCTTGTATCTGGGGCAAGGCAGAAAAGGCAGGGAGTCAGTCTGATTGAGGAGAACAGCAGAGACTCAAAGAAGCAGCAAGTAGCACTCTCTGCAATAATCTTGTAACTGTGGTTGGCTATTGTTAGTAGTCAGGAAAGGATGTCTGCGTGTGTGTCTGTGTGTAGAATCCCAGTAAGTTAACAGAGGGGAACCTGGGCAGCTGGGTTCTGTTTCGTGTTTGTGTGTGTGTTTGTGTATGTAAGCATGGTGGGAGATGAATGGGAGGGCTCGGCTGATGGCAGCGTCTTTAATATCTTCAGCAACCCAGGGCCTTCAGGGAAGAGAGGACAGTATGTTCCTCAGGCTCTATCATGAGGCATCAGGCTTGCTGGGACCACACAGGTGGGAGGGGTTAGAGACCTGCGCTGCTCAGACTGGAGTTCTTTGCCTGTCTTCCCCTTTAATACCTGAAGCTGCCTTGGCCAGGCCCCCAGTGTGGAAGGGAAGGTCAGAAAAGCTTAGCCGTGACCCGGTTACCTCCAGAGTTTTTATCCCCAGAGGGCCGGGGTGCCACAAAGTCAAAGGCCATGTGATGTTTGACCCGACCTTTGCCCTTGCTCCAGAGGGCAATGAGGCCAAAGCAGAGGGTCACTGAGGTGAGGAAAGGGAGGAAGCCGACTGCCAGCACCATAGCCACACCTCTGCTATCCAGGAAGAAAGGTCCCGGGATCCCTGGCATGGTGATGTTGGGGTCGGAGAGGGTGCCGTTTGGAGGTTCAACTTGGATTACCTCCAGCCAGGTCCTCAAGGAGTCATTCCCAGCTACATTGCTGACCATGCAGACGTAAGCCCCTCTATCCCGCAGCTGTACTGAGCGGATCTCCAAGGTCCCGTCGTCGAGGACCCTTACCCTCCCAGCCCTTCCCAGCCAGGCCCCCGGAGGCCTCATCCAGGAGACGGTGGGCATAGGGTCTCCATCTCCAGAGCAGGAGAAGACTGCATGGCCCCCCTCCTCTGCAATGACCCAGCGTGGCCCAGACTTTCGGATCAGGGCTGGTTTGCAGGTGAAGTGTCCCGGAGGTAGGATGTCTGAAAACTCCCGCAGGCTCTTCCCCTGGACGTGCTGGGGGCCGGCACAGGCAGGGGGAGACGTGCCAAAGTCTAGACGGCGCCGGAGCCGCAGGAGCCAGAGGAGGCGGCAGTCACAGGTCAGGGGGTTGCCAGACAGCCTCAGGGTGACCAGTTTGTCTGGTGAAGGGAAGGCTGTTTCCTCCAGGGTCTGAAGGGCATTATCTTCCACGTCCAGGAGGTGGAAGGCAGTCAGGCCGTGGAAGGCGTGGGCAGCGATGGAGATGAGGCAAGCCCCCGACAGCCGGAGCTCCTGGAGCCGCACCAAGGGGCTGAGCCTGCGGGCCGGAATGGCCGAGATGGGATTCTGAGAGAGATCCAGCACCCTGAGGAAGCTCAGATGGTACAGGGCCTGGAAGGGCACTGCGCTCAGATTGCAGCGGGTGATGGCCAGACTGCTGAGGTTGAGCCCCACCAGGCTTCCAGGTTCCAGGGCCTCCAGAGGCGGCCAGTGGTGGATCTCCAGCTCCTTCAGCTGCCCCAGGCCCCGCAGCGCCCCGGCCGGCAGCCTCCCAATGTCCAGTTCTCGCAGCCTCAGGGCCACCAGCCCAGGGAGACGGGCGAGGGCGAGGCCAGGCACTGTGCTGAGGTTGCAGCGCTCCAGGGTGAGGGTGCTCAGCTTGGTCAGCCCTGCAAAGGCCCCCGGGGCCACAAACACCAAGTGGTTGTCCCCAACCTCCAACTGCTGGAGGCTCCCCAGCTCCGCAAAAGCTCCATCTAGGAAGAGGACGATTTGGTTGAGGCGGAGGTCCAACAGCGTGAGGGCTGGCAGGCCAGAGAAGACCCCTGGCCCCATAATTCTGAGCCGGTTGCCCTGCAGCCGTAGGGTCAGGAGACTCTGCAGGCCATGGAAGGCCCCGGGCTCCAGAGTGGAGAGCTGGTTGTAGCTGAGGTCCAGTTCGCGGAGCAGGCCCAGGCTGGAGAGCATCCCCCGCTGGAGCCCCCACAGGCGGTTCCCACTCAGGTCCAGTAGCTCCGTGTCCAGCGGGAGTCCTCCAGGCACAGCCTCCAGTCGCCTGTGGGCACAGAGCACAGCGCGGGGCTGCGAGGTACAGTCGCACACGGCCGGGCAGCCGTCACTGCTCCCTGCAGGCAGAAGGAGCAGAAGCAGGAGTGGGCGCCACGGGAGCCTGGGAGGCTTTGGAGCTGTAGCTGCATCCATTCCCTCTTCAGTCCTAGAAGAGATGATGACAGCACCTTGTTTGGAGAGTAAATTCAGTTGATGGGCTTCTCTGACCTTCCTTAGAGGTGCTATTGGCCTGCCTATCTCGGCATCATCAGCAAGTGGGGACAGGACCAGAATTCTAGTGCACCACCTGTCTGGGTGTCCTGGGACTTTGTTTTGGGGAACCTCTACTTTCTTCCCCCTTCCATCCCTTGAGAAGGCACCTCAAGTGTTTACTAGATCACAGGCCCCTAGTCAAGCCAGCTTATTGTGGGGGAAGTTTTAAGGAATGGGGTGAGAAGTGGCAGAAAAAGTGATTTTTGAATCTCGCTGTAATGGGTTTCTTCCCGAGTCGATGGAGTCTGCTGACTTGGAGGAAGGACAGCCAGGTTGCTCCTTAGGGGCAAGGATGGTGAACCTTGATGTCACAGACTTTGGGCATGTTGTCAAGAGGTCCTTGAGGAAAAAGACATCATGCTTTCTGGAGACAAGTTAGAGGGTCAGGGAAAGAAGAAAAGTTCTTTAATGACATGGATTGATAGTGTCATGGCAGAGGTGTTGAGGATGGCAAAGGATATATTGTTCAAGGAATCACTGTGATTTGCAGTCATCTTGACAGAACCTAACAATGTGAGATCTAGAAATATCTTGGGTCCTTTCTCCTCAAACTCTTGTTTTGCAATCTGCCCAATATTGTCGCCCCTATTTCTTAGTGTGAAGTGTGTGTCCCGCCTTGCTATGGCTACCCATAGCTTTCTTTACTTAATGCTTAGGGGATTGGAGGCCTTGGCCCTGAGTTCCTGACTGGGGAGAAGTTCTCACCTTGACTAAGCCATCCAAAGCGCGGGAACAAGATGCACCCTCTCCAGAATGCCTGCTTGGATGGTGGGCAGGCTGCATATTGGCTCCCACAGAGGAGGCTGGGATGCAACACTGGAAAGCTGGGAATCTCTCACCAGCCCTGAAACCACATGCCCAAGGGGAACCCACCCTCCCCTGAGATAAAGGGGGTTGGATGGGATCCAAGGGATGCCTATGTGCTGAATTTGGTTCTGTGGCTCTCAGTCTTGTGGTTCATGAGATCCCTCACCAATGGAGGTTTTAAATATTTCTCTGTCTTCTAAAAAATTATGAGAGCAAATACCTGGAAATTACAGAAAATTATTTATACTTCTTCTTTCCTAACAAAATGTATGGGTTATTTTTCTGTGATTGTCTACAAATATTCATTCTTTACATTAGTTTAAAAAATTTTTAAATTTTATCTTATTATTTTTTTGTGTGTGTACCATCATATGGGATCTGACTGGTACAGGAGGAGATTGCCCCTCCTTCTCCAGCAGAGCATCTGGTGGATTTGAACTGCACATCTCTGGAATTGCAGTGCATAATCTTAAAATTTTTTAAAAATAATATTTTATTAGGGGAGCTCTGGTGGCCTAGTGGCAAGAGGCTGCACTGTAATCTGAGGTGCACGGTTCAAATCCACCAGATGCTCTGCCGGGAAAGGAGGGACAATCTCCTCCTGTACCAGTCAGATCTGATTTGATGGTACACACACACAAATAATAAAATAAAAATAAAAAATATAAAAAAATATTTTATTGCATTTTAGGTATTTATTTATACAGCAAATTAGGTTTCCTCTAAAAAATTTATACTTTTATATTGTAATATAACTGCATGTAGATTATTCTGTGCCATTGGTTTCAGTTTTTTAATAATATATCAGCCCTGTCATTATTTCCAGTCTGTGTTTTCTGTTTCCATTGATCCAGCTCTAGCTTCCCATCCCCTCCTTGCCTTCTCACCTTCTGGGTACCTGTTGACTTGTCTAGTCTCGTACAGTTAGTCACTGATGGGACCACGTTACTTACAGGTGGTACTATTTACTCTGTAAGTCTATTATTTGTAATATTATTTTGTAATCTATTATTTGGCTGAAAGATGACCTGCACAAATAACTTCAATTCTGAGCTTGAAGGGCAACAGCTAGGCGCAAGGGGGATTTCTTCTAGTGTTTGCTGGTCCAGGTTTAGCCTAGCCTTTATTTTTTTTATTGTGATTTTAAGGAAAGTTTCTAGAAAAGTTGGATTTTCATTCATTCACTGCTGCACATTTTCATCCTACCCACCCCAGTTGACTTTTTTTTTAGTTGACTTTTTTTAAAGAAAACATTCATTGTTGCATAATTTCCTCTCCCCCTCCCCACCATCCCTCATCCAGTACACTTTGCTATAAGCCTCTTATTCTGTACTGTTGTCATACAAATAATGAATATATGATCTGGCATTTATTTTCAAAAGAAATTTGAATTCTATATTTCCTCATTCTGTCTGGGACTTTCTACTGTGACCCTGTTCAAAACAGTTGGTAGTGGTAGATAGACATCACGTAGATCCATGATCTCAGGTCAGAAGAGGCCACGGTTCATGTAGGCTATTTGTCCTATGGCCTAGTTTCTTATTCGAGCCTTTCCCCGCCCCACTTCTTTTGCTCCGTATAAGACCAATAGCTGTATCTTAAATGTCTGTGAACTATGTGATGCTAATTGACTAAGTTGTCCCCTGAGATACTAATGGAGTTTTGATTCAAGGCCAGTGTTTGAATGTGAGGAAGATCTCTTATCCTCTTTGATCTTAGCTACTTGAGCAATCCAGAAGAGACAGACTAGGGACCAGGAAGGCACAGCGAAGTAAGAAAGACAGCATCTCACCAGATGCTTTGGGATGGAGAGGACAGAAGCCCTTGCAGGACATAGCAGGTGTCTGGACTGAAGAACCTGTTGACATCCAGTGGGTGTCTGGGACCCAGGAGTCAGGGAATCATCAGGAAGATTGTGACTAAGATGGCCATTGATGGAGGCTGACTGAGGTGATGGAGGAGAAGAAAGAAATCCTATAGATAATGAAAACCCTTATTTTATGCTGTTCACTACTACCGGGACCATGGAGGAAATAATAGCCCAAGAGATAGGTACACGAGCAAAATGATGCTCCCTGAGAGGGCTTCGTGCTAGCTGTAGAGCCTAAGCACCTTTGGGCAGAATCCATCACTGTCAGACTTTCTGGACCCTCCAGCACCAGCCTTTAACAACAGATTATCTGGTACCACACTTTACTTAGGAGAGATATTTTAAAACAAAGTGTGGTTTCTTCCCTTTTTACCCTATACCTTCCTCTAGAAAGATTCTTCTACCTGCTCTCCTAAAACCACTTCAGAGGACTCCTGTTGTTGTTGTGTACCGTTGACTCAGAACTGATTCATACCTGACCCTCCAATGGGGTTTTTAATCCCATAGGAAGAGATTGCCCATTTGTCTCCTTCAAAGTAGCTGGTGGATTTGAACCGTGTGCCTTGGAGTCGGCAGCCCAACTCCTTACTACTAAGCCACGAGAGTTCCCATCAGAGGACTTTAATAGTTGGGAAATTGAAGAAAGAGGCCCAAACGATAGAGAAGAGGATGCAACACTGACTCAATGGAAATAGTTCCCGGATTTGGGAATTAGAAAGGGGCAAGGGGCAAAAGCTTCTGGCTGACCCCCCTCGCCCCCTCCCAACCTAACAGGTCTCCATGGCGGGCTCTGTTCTCTGGGGGAGAGATGCAGGGCTCCCTCACGCTCAGGGTGCTTATTCCAGGAAGCCCAGCTGACGGCCAGCTCTCCATCACGGCTGCAGTTCTCGCTCGTCTTTCTTGCTTTGCATCCAGCAGAAGAGCAGTGAAGCATGTAACCCAGCCTCCCTCCTTCCTCCTCCTGTGAGTTGCCCCTCAATGTGAAAAGCCTCCTGGGCCAGGTGCTGAGGGGTCTGGGGCCAAGCTCTTTTATTTATAAGGTGGCTAATTTAATCACAAACTTTCCCCCCCCCCTCCACGGCTGCAGGACTGCTGTCCTACAGGCTGCTGGCCACTTTGCAAGAAAAGGTCAGGACTCTTCTTTCTCTCTTTAATTGAGGAGGGGTCTAGGGCATCCTTCTCTGGAGAAACGGTGCACTTGCTATTTCTTGACCCGATGCAGCAATCCAGTGACACATCTGAGCCTGGCCACCTTTTTAAAAAGAAGAGCTGGCTGATGCGGGGAGGGGGCCCTTGGGAGGAAGCCTTCTGGAATAGCCCCACTCATGGCCATTAACTCCTCCAGGTAGATGGAGCCCCAGGGAGATGGAGGCAGAAGTCAGGGCAAAATTGGGGGGGGGTGCGGGGGAGATCTCCTTGGAGTCCTCCCGGGACATTTTCATGTCCAGGCAAAGTCCTATGGGGTCAGGTATTAGGGTTGGCTTGTAAGGACAATGGTGGCCAATACCCCCTTTGCCTTAAAAGGCACCCGGATCTGGCCTTGTCTCTGAGAATGTTAGGAAAAGAGCAGCTGCGGCGCTTGGGACAGATAGGGTTTGGGGGCACTTACCAGAAAAGCAGGAGGGCAGCATCAAGTTGGGCACTGCATCTGTGCAGGGCTGGAGGGCTGGAGGTCCCGTCCCATCTGAACTGCACCCCGGGCCCCCCCACCTCCCACCCCTCACTCCCCGCTGCCTGCTGCTGCTGCCGCTGCTGCTGCCACCGCCACCACCACCGCCGCCAGAGCGGCCACTGCTGCCAAGACTGAGGTAGAGAAAAGAGCCAGAAAGCATTTTTCCTTCCCCCCACCCCCCTTGCTTCTCTCTTTTTCAAACCAGGCAAGAATGAGTCTGCAGCAACCCTGTTGGTGCAAAATAAATAAATAAAGAGCCTCGGGAGGGCTGCAGCAAGCGCCACCACGGCTCCGGGAGGGGGGTGGCAGTGCGGAGGCGCTGGCCCGAGGGGCGGGCGGGGTGGGCAATGGAGGCTCAGGGAAGCTCTGCGGGGTGTCTCTGACATTCTGACCCGCCACTCTTGGGTCTCTGGACAAACGCCTTCCAGAGAGGATGCACACAGTCAGTCTCCATGATGAGGGTGGTTCTGTGCAACTTCTCAAGCCCATGTCCCCTGTGTGGGTCTCCCTCACTGAGGGGCTGAGTCCCAGAGTCCTTCAATAAGAGCTCCTGAGCTTTTCTCCACAGCTCACCAGCCTCAGTGAGGGACTGTACAGCCTGCGGAGAAGCTGGGCGGGAGCTGGAACCTTCCTGGGTTATAACGTGGAGAGGTTTTGAACTGGAAGCCTGGATCTGCAGGCAGGAACGAAGACTGCAGAGTGAGTGTTTAGACCCCCTGGCCCTCACAGCTTCCTCTTGCCTTGCAAATAATTTTTAAAAGCCTGGCGAACCTTTGGGTTGCTCTTTCTCCCTCCTTTTTCTTCCATTGGGAAGAAAAATAAAGTACACCCCTCCCACCCTGTCACTTGCTCTTTAGTCCCTCAGGTGAGGGTTCATGCAGATAGGAAGTTCTGAGACATGAGAAGGGACTGGAGAAAGAGGTGTCTGTCCTCAGCCCTTCCTCACCCTGGTCTTTCTGCCCAGTCACAGAGGGTTGAACTGTGTCTGGCTTTCTTTTTCCACAAGGAGAGACTGGCTGGAGGGCAGGGCCAGAAAAGTCTTCTGAGGGTCTGTACTTGGCCTTCTGGGCAGGGTCTGGCCCCTTCTGCGTCTCTTGTGGTTGGAGATGGCGATGGCTGGGATAGAGTTTGAACCACTCCGCATCTATTATTGGATGACTGGAGCATGATGGAATGCTCTGGGGCCCCTCAGACTTGAGAATCTTCCCTGAGGCTACTAAGCTGCTCTGAGCTGTGACCTCAAGGGTGAGAGAGGTGGTGTCATCCTAAATGTGTCTACAGAACCTCATAGTGGTGAAGTCCCCTGAAGCCACTGATCTTCCCTGAGCTGTGACCCCTAAGGATGAAAGTGTGTTGTGTTAAATATGCCTATAGGTCTGCGTGATTATGGGCTAAGGCTGTATGTGTTTCACCTGTATGTGGACGTGTGCCTTTGGCAAGATTTGTGCTAACCCAAAAAATCTGTTTTTAAAGTGAACAGAAGCAGTTTGAGTTTTCTCTCCATTTGTGTGTGATGCTCTTGGCCTTCTCTGAACTTTGTTTCCACACCCCGAATACAGTTACCCCAGTCCTTATTGCCATCTCCTCTTTCCCTTCCTTATTTCTAGTTTTTGTTCCTTTTTTTTTTTAAGGCTCTAGGAAAAGGGCAACATGCCCAACACCTTCCTTGCAGAGCTGGAAGGAAGGAGGAAGGCAGAAAATCTAAAGATTCAGATTCATGTTATATACAGGTCTTTCTGGGCTCCAGTTGCCAGTCTCTGAGCTTAATCCGTCTCCCCCAGTTTGAAGCCCACAGGGAGAGGCAATGAGGTATTTCAAAGACCTGTTCTTAGCTTCTGAGCCCAAAGTTGAGTTGAGTGGCCCTGATTCCCTTGTTGTCCTGAGGACACCCAGGTCCTTCTTGAGCTCCTTATCTCCCACCCCACCACAGGCCTTCCAGAAGCTGGGGGCGGGAGGGTCGAAACTGAAGAATGAGATAGAACAGAGCTGACTCTGGAGATGATGTCCCTCTGTCTCCACCCCCTCTTGCTGTTGTCCCACTGCTAGGCCAGTCTGTGGGCAGAAAACCAGTCTTGGCATTTGCCCACTCCCAGAGAAGGTGTGAGGACCACGCTGAGAGGTCCAGACAGGAAAAGGCTGAGGTGGAAGTGGGGTCCCTCGAAGTGGGCTGGCAGACTCTAGGATAGGTCACAGGGACAGACTCTCAGAAGGCTCAATTTCAGTGCTGAAGAGTTCCTTGTAGAGTGGGGGAAAAGCAGCTTGGACCACAATGGGGTGGAGGTGCTGGAAGGTTTGCAGCTTTTCCACGTGTTGGCTACACAGGCTCCGAAGCTTCCCCTTGGGTGGCAGCTAGAGGTAGGTGAGCAGGAAGAAAGGGTCATATTTCAGCCCAAGGTGCCACATCCCTTCTCAGAGCAAAGAATTCCTCTCCTCTTTCCTGGGCCAGGACAATCATCTGTGCTTCCCCTGCCTCTGCCCCACCCCCCCAACCCCAGGCCATGCACTTGACACTTCTGGGCTAACTGGATTACATTCAGAGGGGCATGGAAACTAGAGGCAAAGGAAAACTGACGTAGGACAATTGCATGTTTTCTGGATGATACCCCCAAATAAAGTTATTCTTCGTCTGACATACTTTGGACCTGTTGTAATGAGGGACAGGTCCTTGGAGAGTGACATCATGCTTGGGAGGGTGGAGGGACAGCGCAGGAGGGGAAGACCCTCTATGAGGTGGATTGATTCAGTGACTGGGGTAATCGGGATGGGTGTGTTGGAGGCAGTGAGATTGGCACAGGATAGAGCAGGGTTTAGGGCTGTTGTACATAGGGTCGCTATGAGTCGCAAGTGACTCGACAGCACATAACAACAACAACCTCTAAAATGAGCTTTTGGGGGGACCTTGTAAGGATGCTCTATGCTTTATTCTGTGACTTCTCTTTCTCCCATGCAGTCACAAATCTCTGCCTTTATTCATGCTGTTCCCTTCACCTGGAATGCTTTTCCAATTCTTCTTTGCTTGGCTAATTCTTCAAGTGTTACCTCCTCTGAGAATCTCTCCCTAACTATTCTATCTACAGAAAAGACTCTTTTTTTTTAACTCTGTACCACAGTATAGTAAAAACGATCCAGTTGTCTGCCTTCCATCCCAATTTAAACTCAAGTAGAAGGAGAGAGCAAACACATGAGCACTCTTGGGCATATATACGTGCATACACCTGTCTTTCTGTACTTATTATAGTGCTTCTTGTTGTTATTGTAGTTAGCTGCTGTCACCTCTACTATGATGCTCAGCAACCCTATGAACAATAGATCTGAGTCCTGCCCTTTCCTGTGCCATCCTCGCCCTCTCTGATATGCTTGAAGCCATGGTTACAGTGGCTGTGTCAGTCCATCTCATTGATCATATGGCAAATGTGCAAGAACTTATCTAATGGAACTAAACCAGGGGACTCTGATGACTTTCTGGTAAGGAGTTATGCTGCCATCCCAAAGGTACATGGTTCAAATCCACAAGCTGCTCCACAGGAGAAAGATGAGCAGTTTCCTCTCGTGCAATTTACTGCCTCTGAAAACCCACTCGAAGGTCAACGATGAGTCAGTTCTGGTTCAACAAGTAGACAAGCCCAGAGATGGATCTTGCTTGATGTGTTTAAGGAATAGCAAGAAGGCCAGTGGGTTTGGAATGGGTAATAGAGGGGGCGGTGGGAGGAAATCAGGCGAGAAAAGAAGTCAGACCCCATTCCATGAGGCCTTTGGGCTGTGACACAGACCCTGAACTTGCTTCTACTCATGACTGGGAACTATAAGAGGACTGAAAACAAGAGTATCACCTGATTCAACTGTCTTTTAGAAGGGTCTGCTGAGTGGGTTGGCTGTTGAGTGGGGTCTGTGTGACGGCTGAAGGGCTGAGAAGGTTGGAGCAGAGGTCCAATTACAAGTCTTTCTAAAACTACAGCTGTGAGTGATAGCAGCTAGACTATTGTGGTAATGGATTCTGAAGGGAGAGCCAACCAGATCTGCTTTCCAACTGCTCTCCCAACGTCCATTCTCTCCTCCTAATCGATGCTGCCAGACTTGAGTTCTTCAGGTCAGAGCCTGCTGTTTAAGTCATTTTTATTTCCTCAGAATCTACTACTGTGCCTGACACATAGCAAGGACTCAGTGGTGATTGCTTGAATGATTCTTTGGCACTTAAGTTGCAGAAATACTAGCCCTGACTATATCATTCCTGCTAGCCTTTGGTGTACCTGCTTGCATAGCAATAAATTCTTTACTCTTTTATATGGTCTTGAAAGTCCTCTGTGATTTGTCCTTGACCTAAACTCCAGGCTTATTTTCCTACTACTCTTTTGGCCCTATTGGTCTATCCCAACTCTGGACCTTACACGTCCGTCGCAGTGTGCCATCAGTCATTGTCTAGCTATTCACTCTTTTACCTCCTTCTTTTCACTCATGAATACCAGATTATGAACTCTTAGTGGGGGCAGAGGCTCTGTATCTTTCCACAGCACCTTGTACAAGCAGGTGCTGGGGAAGTGTTGGTGTATTACATCTTTCATAAACTCCCTATTGCTGATGGTCGATTCTGGTTCATAATGACGCTACTAGAATAAGGTGAAACTGCCCCATAGGGTTTCTGAGGCTGTACGCATTTTTAAAATTTTATATTGCTTTGCATACAAAATTTGTATACATTGTGTTTCATTCATATATATTGTATTTCACACATCATTCACATTGTGTTTCATGTGATCACGCTCATTAGGGTGTAAATCTTCATGTAAGCAGACTGCCACGTCTTTCTCCCTCTGGAATCACTGGGGGGTTCAAACTCCTGACCTTCTGGGTAGCAGTCAAGTACTTAAACACTCTGCTACCAGAGCTTCTACAAATTTCCTAACTGTTGTCTTCTCTAAAAAGCACTTAAGATTTATTCCTTTTACTCCTACATAATTTTAATTTCTTTTTCTTTCCCCCTCTCATAACATTTCCTCTAATATCTCTTATTATGGTGATAGATTGAAGGCAAACAGATATAAGGAAAGTGCACCGAGATGAAATCTTGCCTTTATCATTAACGAATTGAATATACTTGACCAAGTCCCTTTAGTCTCCTTATCAGCTACAGGGAGATTTTAGCACCTGTCCTGCTGGCTGGGTTGCCATGAGGATGAGTGAGCCTATCTGCAAAAGCACTTTGTTAATTGCATCATTATTATATCACATAGCACATTCTGCCCTATATTAGTTAATGGTTCATGAGTCCTGTCTTCATACCAGATTATGAAGTCTTAGTGGGGGCAGGGACTGCCTCTCTGTATCTTTCCACAGTGCCTTGTACAAACAGGTGCAGGGGAAGTGTTGGTATATTAAATGGAATTGTTCCCTGGTGGCCTCTCCCAATTCCAGGCTCTCTACTTTCCATCTTGACTCACTAGAAGTGGAAGTGATTGCTCACCCCCTTCATTCCCACTTCTCCTGAAAGCTCTCTAAAGTATTTCTCCCTCTGCACCCTGTGACCCTGGCCCTACAAATGGTGATGTCACAGATCTGGCCCTGGGCCTACCTCCTTCCACCCCAGGGGCTGCATTTACCTTTGCCAAGATGCCTTGGCGATGAGTCTTGCAGAGATGATGATAAAAGGCCAGCTCGAGATTGCACTGCAGCTGCTCTACTTTCCTTTTGTCTTGAAGCCCAGGCCGGTCTGAAGGAGAGGATGAAGTGGGTGAGAAGAAGATGGACATTAACTTCTACAAAAAGGCTGCATCTTTGGGGGCATCTGTGCTGGAGAGAGGCCCTCTCAACAGAGGTGTGTTTATTTGTTGCCTTTGATATTGGTAAACTCTGGGGATCTTGGGTTTGGCCTGCAGTTTATAAGGAAAATGAGGGAAGAGATGGGGAATTCTAACCTCTCAACTCCAGGATCCTTTCTCCCCGGTATCCTGATTGCACATAACTTTTTCAATGTTAAGTACTAAGGTTCTACCATTTAAAAAACCTTCTTGGTTCCTCCAAGAAAGACAGGAGCTGGCCTCAGTGAAGCTCACCTGTGTCCCAGGCCAGCAACAGGCCTCTGCATCTGTCTGCAGACAGTTTCAATACACAAGCCATCTTTTGCCTTAGCTCCATAAAATAGCCAGAAGTCACCTTCTCTTCCTGTTTCACGTCTCCTTTTTGCTCTTAAAGGACTCTCTCATTAAAGTTTTTATTTCCAGCTTGCAGGAAGACTCATAATCTTGCATTCAGATTCTGATCATAGTTCCACTCACTTCCCCAGGTTCTTTTTGCATACTCAGCGGTCAGTTGGTTCAGCCCAGCGCACCTCATTCCAATGGTGGAGATGGCCCGGGTGCTGTCATTAAAGGTGTTTTCCCCATCTGCAGTTGAGTCCGTTCTGACACATGGTGTGTGTGTATCTGAACAGAACAGTTTCAGAGGGTTTTCAAAGGCTGATTATTTTTTTTTTTAAATAGATCTCCAGGCCTTTCTTCTGAGGTGCCTCTGGGCGGCCTCTGACCTCCAGCTTTTGCTAGCATCTGAGTGAGCCAGGGACAAACTGTCACCTGGGGATTATTCCATTAGAGGCACATAGTCTTAGAATGAGTTTACTTCAGCAGCACATTTCAACCACTTGGGAAGCTTTAAAAGATCCTGCCTTCCAGATGCACAGGCTTCACCACAGATCACTTCTATTGGAATCTGTGTGCGTGGAGGCCAGGCATCAGTATTTTGGAAAGCTCCCTGCGTGATTCAAATGTGCAGTCACAAGGGAACCATTGACACAGAGTAAAAGACCAGCTCCTTTCAGGGAGGTGGCGCATTGCTTCAAAATCTCCATTCTCGCATTTCCACAGCTCCACTTCAAGCTGTTCTCTCCATCTCCGAGGCTCCTCTGGGTCCTCATTTTAACTTCTCTTACTAGACAGCAATATCAGGTAGAGCTCGTGCGGCTATTTTTAAAAGCATGTCCCCAGATTTAGCCACTTCTTAAGGGCCAGCCTCTGCAGCACCCCCGTCCCCGCCCCCACCCGAATGCCCTCGATGCAAGCCCGCGACACTCACTGGCATTGATGAGAACAAGCGCTGTGTAGAGGGCAATCTCGTCCTCAGAAAAGCGCAAGGCACTCAGGGAGTGGGAGAAGTCAAAGATGGCACTGATGAGCTCAAGGCAGCCTGAAGGGGAGGAAAGGAGGAGAGTGAACAGGGTAGGTGTAACCAGGGTGTGTGTGGGGGTGTAGGCAGTCTTCCCTGAGCACAGCGTCCTGGGCCACAAAGCTTTGGATGGGAATGGGCATCAGACCCTCGTTTGCCCTGCCCCTCACCCAAGGCTCGGAACAGCTCCACGCCACCGTATTTGCCTTCAAAAAAGACTGTGTGGTTGTCCGCGTTGTAGGCCCGGCACATTCTGACCAGCACCACTTCCATTGCTCCTGGGGGTGGGGAGAAGAGATGCAGGGACAGTGCAGTAAAGTTGATAAATCTGCTCCTTGCACTTTATGTCGTGGTTTCCATCGGCCCTCTCCCTTTCCTCCTCCCAGCCCCAGTCTGTCTCCTGCCCTCCCCGGCCCCACACCACCGCCCCCTACACCCGCATCCAGGTACCTGCTTTGAGCAGCACGATCTGGTCATTCTGGCAAAGCTCCATAAAGCCTGTAAGCCTCTTGGCAAACTCCACCACATACTGGATGGCCTCAGTGAGGCGGTGGGCACATCGCTCCCACATTTCCCACATGGACTGCAAAGGAGGAAGAGGAGGGTTCTGCTAGAGCCCTCAGTTAACATGTGCCCCCAAAGTCCTTGGGAGCCCCAGAAAACGAATTGCAGAGGGTGAATTTAGAGCTCCTGCATTGTTAACACTGGCATTTGCAGCATATTCTTGGCACGAGTGCACACACAGAGATCAAGTCAGCACGCTTACTGGGCATCCACCAGCTGGACCACTGAATTAGCTGTTGTGTAGGAATTTTTAAAGCCTGTGTGAGCTCTGGAGCTCTGGTGATGGCCTAGTGATAAGAATCTGTGCTGCAATCTCAAAGGTATGCAATTCAAATCCACCAGCTGCTCCTAGGAAGAAGGACGGACCATCTCCTCTCATGCAATTCCTGCCTCTGAAACCCACTGGAGGGTCAGCTATGGGCCAGTTCCAACTTAGCACACAACAACAAGGGCTCTTGTGAGCTATAGGAGAGTTATGTGAGCTCTGGTTGCCTAGTGATAAAGAGCTCACTGCCAACTCAAAGGCATATAGTTCTAATTCACCATCTGCTGTGTGGGAGAAATACGAACAGTCTTCCCCTATGTCATTTACTGCCTCTGAAAACCTGCTGGATGGTCAGCTATGAGTTGGTTCTGACTGGATGGTACGCAAAATCGCACAATATATGATACACAGAGATGGAATTTTGTTGAGATAAAAAGAACAGATCCAAAGATCTTTACTAAGCTTTTGAGTCAGGTTCACTTATTATCCATAACTGAACCTGTAATAGAAGATAATTTGAAAAATATGAGTGCCTGGAAGGATAACAGCAATGAAAAAAAGTTAAAAGTTGATGTCCTTGAATGGGAGATTTACAAGAACTTTGGTGAGCCCTTTCAGGAATTTAATGTTGGAGATCAGATTATTGTTGGGACATGATTCCCATTTTAAACCCTGTGAGGTCAGCTGCCATCTTGAGCAGGGCAACATTGTTTCTTTCAGACTCTGGTGATCAAGAGATTTGACTGCTAAGCAACTTGAACACTTCTCCTTGTTTTATAAGAAAGTAATAAATTTCTAACAGGGTGTCCACAGAATTTCTGATTAATCTCAGTTTCATTTCATCAGTCATGGCTGAACTGAGGAGAACAGGCTTGAAGCTCTGTTAAAAATCTTGCACCAAATGAGTGTTTTTAAATAAAGTGGTGTAGTCAGGAGTGTAGATGGAAGAATAGGAGAGAACATAAAATGTGGAGCTACTGTGCAACCACTGTGGAAGGCAGTATGGCGCTCTCTCAAAAAGTTGGAAATAGAAATACCATTTGACCCAGCAATTCCACTACTAGGAATATACCCCAGAGACCATAACCGCCACCCAAGCAGATATATGCACACCCATGTTTATTGAGGTTTTGTTCGCAATAGCAAAGAGTTGGAAACAATCCATGTGCCCATCAACAAATGAATGGATAGAGGAGCTGTGGTATATTCACACAATGGAATACTATGTAGCATTGAAAAACAAGGAACTCATGCAATATTATCCAAAATGGGTGACCCTGGAGGACACTATGTTGAGTGAAGTATCTCAGTCACAAAAGGACAAATACTGCATGATGCCACTGTTGTAAAACGGGACTGACATTGGGGTTGGAGGAAGACTGAAAAAGATGGGATAAATTATGTTTACAACATTGAAACAGATGAGAGAGAGAACTATTTAAAAGGGATATATGAATAGATATTGTCATGCCAGGAGTCCAGAATGAAGGCTGAATGGTGGAGTGGACTTGGAGGGAGAGATTGTATAACAATGAAAAAATTTTTCTTTTCTTTTCAAAGAGAAGAGCAAACTGGGGAGGAGGTTGGGCAGGGAAAAAAAGTGCAACAATGAATGAATGGAAATCTAAAGTCTCTGTAAACTTTCATTAAAATTAATTTAAAAAATTTTAAAAAATGTGGAGCTACCACTTTATAACCTTGAGTAAATCTATTACCTTACCCCAGTCCAGTTTACTTTTCTAATCTGTCAAAAATAGGAAAATACCAACCTTATGGGTTGGTTGTTGTAAAGATCCAGGATAATTTATGTAAAGCATTTAACCTGACAGATAAAAGGTATATAACAAAGAGTGGTTAGGATTATAATTACTGTTTTGATTGTTAGAATGGGAAGAAATCTGGGTCAAATTTTAAGGCTGTTGTTAGGTGCTGTTGAGTCAACTATGACTCGTTGTTATTGTATACTGCAGAGTCAGAACTGACCAATAGCTGAGCCCCTAGCGGGCTTTCAGAGGCAGTAAATCGCACAGGAGGAGATTGCCCATCTTTCTCCTGAAGAGCAGCTAGTGGCCTCGAACAACATGCCTTTGGGATTGCAGCACAGCTTCTTGCCACTAGGCTACCAGAGCTACACTATGACTCATAGCAAAATTTTTATAGACAACCAGGTCTAAAAATGGGTGGGTACACCTGGTGGTGGAGCTGCATCTACCTGTGTGATGCCCTCGCTCATGCCAGCCCACTTTCAGGGCGTGTAGCTGTCTCTGGATTCAGTGGTGGTGGTCTGGCTTCCCTTCCTGGCATAGCCCCCTGGCCTCACCTTCCTCTGGTAGCCCATCACCTCCTCCCGTGAGAAGATGTTGGTGCGCTGCCGGAGCAGGTCCTCTAGCCGCAGCTGACACGTCTCTCGGTAAGACTTGCAAACGTTCTGCACCAGGTGCTCTGGGGCCAGAGGAGGAAGGCAAGAGCTTGATTTCAGCTACCTCCTAGCCTGGCCCCTGCAAGGGACTCTGCCTGGGAACTCCAATGGCTCTTGTTGAGGACCTCTCACATCCCTTGCATTCATGTACACAGGGGGTGCTGGCTAAGGATCCTTTCTTGGAAGTCCCCCTTATCATCACCACCCCTCCAGCTCCCCCAGCTGCTCACCAATCTCTGTCAGGGAGGCATGTGGAGTCTCTGGGGTAGTACGGAAACTGCTGTAGTCCAGGCCCCGTCCAGGTTCCCCCACCCCAGGATGCCTGGGTTCTTCAAAATGAAATCCACATCTGACAGGAGTCAGCTGGCTGCCTGCAGTACAGAAACTCTCTCTGCCCTCAGCCTTGTCCCGCTCCGGGCTGTATTCAAGGTGGTAGGAGGCCCCGTTGAGCCCTGCCTTGGCCATGTGACTGGAATATGAGGGCCCAGAGCCTGGAGCTCTCAGGAGGCCAGGGGGACAAGCAGAGGCTTCGGGCAGGTCAGGAGAAGAGCCCAGGGGCAGCTGGCTGTCTGGGAGCCCCAAGGTGTAGGTGAGGGTGTCTGCTCCTTGGCCCCCTGTAGAAGGGGTCTTGGCCACTTGTTCCCGTTGCTGCTGCTGCTGCTGCCTCTGCAGCTGTTTCTGCACTTCTGCATGCAGGCTGTCTCTCTGCTTCTTGGACATGCGGCCGAACTTGACAGCTGAAACATGTGCGGGGCTTAGGTTTTTGAGGCAGGAGAATATGGTACAGGTCAACCAACATTTGGATCATGACGCGATTACCTTGCTGCTCACTGAATAGCTGACTCCACAAGGTGCTTCTCCAGCCCAGGGCCTCCCCTCAGGGGGCTCAGGTTTCTGACCAGACCCATCTGTCTCTCCTCTTATCTTCAAGGGTATATTCAGATCCCTACCAATTCCATTTCCATTTCCTGAATTTCCTGAAATTCTTCTAACTCTAAACCAGCTTCTAACAGTAGTGGTCCATTTCAAGGAATAACCTGGGCTGAGGCTTTTTAGCCTCCTGCTGGTGGTGCTGGGGTGGTCAAGTGGAGGGCCTCAAAGCTGTATTGGGGTCACCTCGCCTGTCTCGGAGGGTCGGAGGAAGAGGAGGGCTGAGAACACAGGTCTCCCTGTGGTCAGGCCTGCAGGCTCCCTGGTGACCTAGATACTCACCACAGACCAACCCAGGCTCCGCGGCTTGTTTCTGAACATCCTCTTCTGCTCTCTCTTTCCTGCCTTCCACTCCCTCCCCACCCTCCCAGGTGTGGGGGCACAGCCCCTCTCCCCGCCTGCCCCTTTGCACCCCTGCATGTTTCCTTTCGCTTTGTTATTTTGGGCACTGAAAAGTGCTGACAGGCTCCTTGGGGCTCCTCATCACCTCATGCCTCCCCTGTCTCACGCTGGGCTCCTTTGTGGTGGGCGTGTGGGGGCAGGAGGAGGGGGCTGTGGGGGTGGTGGTGTGTGAGGGAGGTAGATAAACCCCCCAGGAACGCCCGCCCTTCCAGCCTCCACACCTTCTGGCCTATTCTCTGGCCAGAGTCTCATATCCTAGGTTGGGAATGAGGGGCCAGGAGGGGGTGATCCTGAAACAATGGGGCAGGAGGGAAAAGGCTTGGAAACTGGATCTGGGATCTGGGAGAGGATAGAAATGGAGTGAAGAGGATTCCTCCCCAGACAGAAGAGACTGAAGATCTCTTGGAAGGAGAGTTCTGCTGTTTGTTGTTGAGTCAATTCTGACTCAGGGTGACCCCCCACATGCTCCATAGGGTTTCCAAGCCTGTGGCTTTTTGAAAGCAAATTGCCAGGCTTGTCTCCACGGCATATATGGTTGGGCTTGAACTGTAAACCTTTCAGCTAGAAATACAGTTTTAACTGTGCCTTCTAGGAACTCCTTGTTCTAATAGAGCTTCATGCTGGAGACTCCAAAGAACTCTTATGGAATGACCTGCTTATGTCCACAGCCACAGTGTAAGAGGAGACAATGAAGACAGGGCATTTAGCTGGCCAGCTTGCCTCCCAGGAGACCCCAGGGCACACCCACTTGGCCTCACCATCTCGGGACATGCCCAGCGCCAGGCATTTCTGCAGACGGCAGTGCTGGCATCGGTTTCGGCTCGTTCGGTCAATGGGGCAGTTCTGCTGTCGGGTGCAGGCATAGGCCACGTTGCACTGCTGACTCCGGCGGAAGAAACCCTGGGCAGGGGAGATGCAGACCCTGGTGACCCCACTCAGGCCCGCGGGTCTCCATCCCACAGAATCCTACCACCTCACCTGTCAGCTTTTGTAATTACTCCCCCCGCCCAGAGGAAGACAAGATTTTCCTAATCTTTGAGTTAAGGCACCACCCAGCTTCCTAAGAGTCGCAGGCCATCCTTTCTGGAGTAAGAACGATGGCCATTGAGTTTCTCTCCTGTATCCCATCTCTGCAGAGACCACACATGTGTGCTTGGGCACAGCTATGTAAAGGGATTTGCCCATCACACTCACCTTGCACCCCTCACAAGTGATAACACCGTAGTGAATCCCAGACGACTTGTCCCCACAGATTTTGCAAGGGATCACTTCAATTTGTGCTGGGAGACAAAAAGAGAGAAGTCAGACAGGACCATCTGCTGGATCCTCTTTCGTGGATCCAGGCTGCAGGGCTGCAGGATTCAGGCGCTGGTGCTTCCCCTGCTCCTCCAACCAGCTCAGCTGGCCATTCTGCGCTCCCACACCCTGCACCAAGAGAGGGGATGTGAAGTGCCAAATGCTACTCAGCAAAGGGTCTGTGGAGGGTGTTGTTTTTTTTTTTGTGGGGAGAAGATGTTAAGCGAGTGTAGCCAGGAGTATCAGCTCTTTGGGGGCTGAGAAAGCAGCTGCAGAAAGACCACCTGCTCAGCCCTTCAAGTTGAAAAACCTCAGTTGCTTCCCTCCCTCATTGGGACATAGGAGTCCTCACTGCCTCATAACACCTGCTTCCCGCCCAAGGGGCTTCCTTTGTGCTCCCATGAAGGCCCAGCTCCCATAGGTAGAAGTTGGGGCATGTCAGGAAGATCTGGTACAGCAGGCAGAGGCCACTGGAACAGCAGGTAGAGGCCACTGGAGTTGGCAGGGATGTCAATGGGTCCTTCTGGCAGTGAAGGGAGGTGGGAGGGCAGCACAGGGACTGTAGGAACACAGAGGAGGGTTTGCCTAATAGGGCCCAGCAAGGGGAGGAAGATGGAGCCCAGGAGAGGGGGGCTCAACAAACAGCAAGGCTCCTAGAAACTTGGCTGCACAGTGGAGGGTGGGTGACCCTGTAGATAGCAAGTGTAAGAGTGAATCCAGTGCACGGGGCATCTGTACCCCACTGTTCATGTATAGATCGTGAATGTGAAAACTATGCTGGGACTAGTTGTTATGTGCCATTGAGTCACCTGTGACTCACAGTGACCCTACATACAATAGTTCTGAACCCCACTCTATCCTGAGCCACTCTCACTGTCTCTGACATACCTACCCCCATTGCCCCAGTGCACCATCAGGTGCCATACCTGCTAGTCTACTCTAAATGTGCTCTATAGAACATAGGAGTTTTGAAGGCCTCTTATTTCCAAAGTGGATGGCCACTTCCTAGCCTGTCTTAATTTGGATGCTCAGCTTTAGAATAATATCAGACAGATGAGCATTTTCCCAAAAGGAGCAGATGAAAGAGACCAAGCACTTGTCCTTTATTTCACAGCTGAGGAAACAGGCCAGATGAGGTAAAGTGATTGGCCTGTGCTCACACAGCCAGTTTGCTGCAGAGCTGGAACATTCCAGTTCTCCTGAGCATTCCATTAGCCTTTCTGACACTTTTGGGGTTAATGGATCTAAGAATATCTTTCAGAGTACATTTGTTTTTCACGTGTGTTCTTGTGGAGAAGAAAGGGACATGTGACTTGTGAGCTACTGTGGGTATGTGTCTGAGCCAGAGCACACATGTGTGGGTACGTCAGTGCTTGCTCACTGGGCACAGGGACCGTAGGCTCTCTTACCCACTGAGCCCATTGTCTTTTTTCTCCCTTTAATGTTAATGAAAGTTTACAGAGACTTAGGGTTTCCAGTCATTCATTGTTGTACTTTTCTCCCTTCCCCGCCCCCCAATTCACTCTTCTCCTTGAAAAGTAAAATAAAAACTCTTTCATTGTTATACAATCCCTCCCCCCACGTCCACTCCCCTGTGCAGCCTTCATTCTGGACTCCTGTCATGACAATAATACCCAATCATATATCCCTTTTAAACAGTTCTCTCTCACACCTGTTTCAATGCAGTATACATCATTCCTCCCCTCATTCTCTGCCTGCCCTCAACCCTGATGTCAGTCCCATTTTACAACAGTGGACTTATGCAATATTTGTCATTTTGTGACTGAGATATTCCACTCAGCATAATGTCCTCCAGGGTCATCCATTTTGCATACTATTTCATGAGTTCCTTGTTTTTAAATGCTGCATAGTATTCCATTGTGTGAATATACCAGAGCTGCTCTATCCATTCATTTGTTGATGGGCACTTGAGTTGTTTCCAACTCTTTGCTATTGCGAACAAAGCCTCAATAAACATGGGTGTGCGTATATCTGCTTGGGTGGCAGTATGGTTTCTTTTTTTTTTTTTTGGCAGTATGGTTTCTTTAGGGTAAATTCCCAATAGTGGAATTGCTGGGTCAAATGTTATTTCTATTTGCAACTTTTTGAGAAAGTGCCATGCAGCTTTCCATAGTATTTGCACCATTTTACACTCCCACCAACAATGAATAAGGGTTCTAGTTTCTTCACAACCTCGCCAGCATTTGATGTTTGCTGTTCTGTTAAATTTAGCTGTTCTTACTGGGGTGAGAAGTTATCTCCCAGTTGTTTTGAGAGCCCATTGCGTCTTGTGCCAGTTCCCCACCCTTTCACTGTGGATTATTGCTGGCCCAGCTCTCTTATTTTGTCCTGCCTTTGCCAGTGCTCACTCCTCTCTGCTGAGGTCAAGGAAACACAGAAGAGAGACCTTTCCTACCCCTTCACTGAAAGGGAGTTAAACAGAGTTTGGCATCCCAGCGGCTGTGGCTGCTTCCAGGACTTCCAAATGTAGTTGGTTGAGCCTCATCTCTCCCATCATTGACCCCTGGGGCAGAAGCAAGCCAGAATAGTGGCCTTGAGCTCCAGCCACTTCTCATCTCTGATGTGTCTCTCATCCTGAGGGTCAGTCGAAGAAGCACCCTCCTTGAATAGCAAGTCCCTGTGAGTGACCTGCTAGCCCCAGATTTGCACCCTGATCACAGGTAGGCTGGCTGATGTGAAATGGGGTGGGCAACAAAAATCGTCCACAAATACCCAAAATATTGTTTTCATTCTCCTTAAACTGTCTCCTCAGGCCAGCTGGGAGTCCAATGAGACACTGCCTCCTCATGGGGGGAGCAGCTTACTAATGTCTGAAATTCCTCCATTAAAACTTGAGTCTTTCCGCCTATCCTAACACTCTCCTTGCCCACCCAGCATTCCATAGTGAACCTCTATCAGTCTGCACCAGAGAGTAAGAGAGCTTTTCAGCAAATTAATGAAAATAAAGATTCCTTGCAGCCGATTAAGAGCCAATTTCAGTGTGTGGAAGGGCAGGAAGAAGAGGAGGGGATTGGATATCTGACGTCTGGAAGTGGGATAATAATGAGGCACTGATCCTACAAGACTCTGAAATTCTCTAGGCCTCACATCAAGGTGGATCAGAGACATGGGAGTAAAGCCCAAAACCATAAAGTTCATTAGAGACAAACTGGGATCAAGCTTAGAAGGCCTAGTCTATGGTATAAAGAGACTGCCAAATACAGCCAGAAATGCACAATCGAAGAGGATAAAATTGATGAATGGGACCTTCTAAAATTTAAATCCCTGTGTGCATCAAAAACTTTTCCCTACAGGGTGAAAAGAAAACCTACAGACTGGCAACAAACACCTGGCAATACCATCTCAGACAAGAGTCTCATAATAAAAGTTTACAGAATACTCCTGGACCTCCACAAGAAAAAGATTGATAACCCAATTACAAAATGGGCAAAAGACATAGATTTTTCACAGAGGAAGATATTTGGGTGGCCAATAAACATATGAAGAAATGCTCCAAATCACTGGCAGTAAGAGAGATGCAAATCAAAACCACAATGAGATATCATCTCGCTCCAGTAGCAGTGACAAAGTTTAACAGGACGGCAAGTAATAAATGTTAGAGAGGTTGTGACAAAATAGGAACTCTTTCTTATACATTGTTGGTGGGATTGTAAAATGGTACAATCACTCTGGAAGGCAGTTTGACACTTCCTCAAAAAGTTGAAGATAGACATTCCATATGACCCAGCTATTTCACTGCTTGGAGTATGTTGTTGTTAAGTGTTGTCGAGTCGCAGGCGACTCATAGCGACCCTATGAACAAAAGCCCTCGACACTTGCGTGCATGACTTTCAGCTTTTCTCCAGGTTCATAGGGTTTCCAGAGGCAAGCTATTTATGGACCCTGACAAAATGAGAACTGAGGCTCAAAGACTTGTACACCAATGTTCATAGCAACATTATTCACCGTTGCAAGAACATGGAAACAGCGGAGATGTCCAACTACAGCTGAATGGATTGAGAAGTTGTGGAACCTTCATACAATGGAATACTATGCACCACACTGGAGCAATCAATCTGTAAATTACTACCTATCTTAGGGGAGGGGGGACTGGAGAGCATTATGATGAGTGAAGTAATTCAGTCCCACAAGGACAAATACTGTATAAAACCATTATTGTAGAATGAGTATGAGGATAAGGGGGGAGGGTGGAAGCAGATGAATGAGGATGGGCAGGGGTGGGGTGGGGTGTTAATCACAGGGTTGCAGAATTCAGTGGGTGGGGGAGTGACGGAAATGGGAAAGATCTTGTGTGAAAAACAATTTATTTGAACTTTGTAAATAAATCAATATAAAATAAAAAAATTAAAAAAAATTCTCTAGACCTCAGTTCCTTTATCAGTAAAACTGGGATAAAGTTCAAGATAATTAAACAGTATCTGTGGAAAGTGCTGTTTAAGTGGGAAAGTGCTAGTGTTACTGAGAATTGGTGAAGGTGATGAAACCAGGTGGACAGAAGCACAGATAAAAGCCCCAACCCCCACAGCATCTTCTCTGCCCTCTCCCTGACGCCGTCCTTCACGAACACTGTGGTAGCTGTTGCCTCAGTGGCCCTAAGCCCACAGAGGAGAGAAACCAGCATGGGTCACCCAAGAAAGTAAGTGGGAGAGAGATTAGGCCAAGCCACAGTGGGAACCTGGGCTCCAGCCCAGCAGCCAACCACAGGCCTCCCTGCCTCTTCCCTTCTCCAGGAGCCACATCCGTGTGCGTGTGTATGCTGACCACAAGGGTGACCCCAGGCACATCTCCCTTGCCCTCGGCTAGTCCTGGCCCCAGAGACCTCACAGCAGAGTTGCCAAGTCCTTGCTTTTCTCCTAGAAAGAAGTGACCAGCCAAGAACCTACCACCTTCCCGCCCCCATCATAAATACACATGTGTGGCTGATGCCGCCGGAGAGCCTGGGAGTCCAGCTACCAGGCCAGCC